GAGACTGGCTTTGAACTCCCTATCCTCCTGCCTCAGCCTCGAGGAGTCCTGGGAATACAGGCGTACCCACTGCGCCCGGCCACAAGTATCTTAATCAGTTGTTAAAAAAACATTATAAAGTTAATCAAAGTAGTAGGCTTTTTTTCTCCTGACATGCACCATGTTTTTATTATCTTATTAAGCAGGCTACGTTCCTTTCCAGTTCTCCATCCAGCATCTTAAGAACTTTGAGCTTCACTTTTTACTTCCAGGAGTTCAAACAGTGGTTGCATCTCCACAGAACAGCTTGAGAGATTTAACTTGATCTTTATAGTCTTCCTAGATGCTAATTTAAAATTTTCCAGGACTTGAAGTGTAGCTTAATGGTATAGTGCTTGCCTGGCATGTGTGAAGCCCTAGGTTCAAACCCCCGGCACTGCAATTAATAATAATATTAATAGGAGAAGTAGTAATAATGCTAATATGTTAAAAATAGAAATTTTCAGAGGAAATTAATTTAAAATTAAAAACAGAAATTTCCAGAGAAGTATCAGTTTCCTGCTTTTTCCTTTACCCACAGACTAACAACATAAATATTTTGACCATCAGCCCTGTTATGAAATACTTCTGTCAACCAAAGAGATAATCCAATACAAGGGGATATCTCTTCTCCACAAGAAATATTAAAGAAGACTGTTTTTATCATAAGACAAGGATAACGGAGTGATCCTGAAAGCGAAGATTTCACATTTGCAAGCTATCCTTGATTCTAACTCCAAGTATCAAGATGTCTATGAAACAAATCAATCTATAGCAATCAGAATGGATCAATACAGGTAGAATATAAGTGGATCTGGAGACCCTTCAAAATGGTATGACAATAACAAGGCATAGTAAGGAGACCCAGAATTTCCACAAGAGTTCATTTTGGTGCTAGTTCCCAATCGAAGGCCTTCTTTTCTAATAGCAGTAAGCAGTAATTTAGGATCTAAATTTAGCTTCATGGAAGTTACCCTATTATCTTTTGGTGGGGGATGGGGGTCTGGGTCTGGGATTGAAACCAGGACCTCACACATGCAAATGCTGTACCACTGAACCACACCCACAACCCTGTTACCTATTAAAGATGATGTTAGCTAACTTTTCTTGAGCCCTTATTACGTATCAGACATCTCTCTCCTAATGAGAGTAGTTGACTTGCCATCCTGGACATGAGGGATTTTAACTCTTTTGAATATGGTTATAGAGATAACAAGATGCTATCCACTCCCCACCCCAGGCGAATTTCCCTCTTTCCTTTTCCTTGATCATAATTACTTATGAAATTGGCATTGCTTGAATGCCACGGTCAATGGGAAAATCTCCCATTGATTGGTCACAAAAAGAAGCATTAGATCTTGTGAAAAGTAGGTGTATTCGATGGAATGGTGCTCAAAAACAAGAAAGGGAAACAAAAAAGCAAAAGACGGGTGGGTAAAGAATATAAAAATTTAGTTAAGTGGCTACCTCTGGAAAAATTCCTGAAAAGGGATTTTTTTTCTTTCTTTTTTTTTTTTTTTTTGGTGTGTGTGTATGTGCAGGGAGTCATGAAAATTATTCTTTCTTAACTTACACAAAAGTTCCATGATATTTTATTTTTTACTTACAATTAAAGTATCTCTGGAAAATAAGTTAATTGGAGGAAGAAAAGAGCAATGTTTGAATGATATTTGAAGGTGATGTGGATTATATTTAACGATAGGCAAAATTCCCACCCTATTTGCATTGGGTGAGGATGAGTAGCAAACATTAAAAAAATAAGTAGACAACACCACATTTTAGAAGGTGACAAAATGCTTGGGAATATTCAGTAGAGAAGGAGGATGGCAAATGCCAAGCAAGGAAGGGTGAAATAGTTGTAACATTTGTTTGAAGAGCTAGGGAGCATACTACTCACTGTGTGTGGGAGTGCATGGGAGGCCTCAGACAGATGTTCTTGAATGATGTGTACTCCATCAATTCCTTACCTGAATTCACACATGTACTTCATCTTAACCTCACACTAAATCCATCTTATTTTCCCCCATGCCTGTTCTCTATCACCCTAAGTCACAAGCGGTGGATTCTGCCAGGTTCTTTTCCATTCCCACTGTGTCCCAGAGTGATGCAGTAGCTTCCTTGAAGCCACCCCCACCTCTCTTCATTCTGTACTTCATGCTGCCACAGTGGCTTTTCTAAAATGCTCTGCACTGCCTCGGGGATAAACTTCAGATTCTTAACATGCACCCGTAACTCTCCATGACTTGGCTCTACCCTTTTTCAAGAACTTTCTCTTGAAAGTTATATCTTTCCTCTGGTATATCTTGTTTTTCAGCTATAACAAATTATTTACAGTTTTTCTAATGTGCTATCCTCTGGTATATCTTGTTTTTCAGCTATAACAAATTATTTACAGTTTTTCTAATGTGCCCAGCTCTCAATTTCCTGCTCTTGATCATTTTGAGTTTGGAATTTCATGTTGTGTACCTTTTATGCCATCTGTCCATCAAAATCTATCTGACATGGTCATTAGAAGTTAGCATTGCACCCTCTTCTCCAGTAGCATCAGTAGGTCCCTCTTTCCTTTGTGCCACTGCTATTCTTCTGTTATAGTACCGGTACCATACCTTAGCCCCTTAAACCAGTGACTGCTTGCCTTATCTTTTTTTTTTTTTCCTCTCAGTACCTAGTCCATTAACTGGCAGGAAATTTGAGTTGAGTATTTGTTAGTGAGTTTTATTTTGGATATGTTAAGGATGACCAAGGGGCATGCGGATAGAGGAAAGTCACCAGAATAGAGTTGTGGAAGAGGCAGTTGGTAGCACCAGCAATAGTTGAGCTTCTAAATGAGACTCTGAGATGATCACCTAAGTGCTGAAGTAGGGTAGGGTCTTGCCTAAGGAATGGGCCAAGGAAAAGAAGCCAAAACCAGACAAGGAGGAAGCTGCTAAGAGCAGTAGGACTGTGTCTGGCATCTAAGTGTCCAGTAAATATTTATTGAATGAAAATTAGTGTTTAAAAATACGTTTGGCATTGAAAGTATTTGGGTGTATGCCATACCTAATAAGGGATGTCTGTAAATAATGAATCCATTTCACTGTTTTTTTTCCAGTTTTCTAATTACAAAATCTACATACTTGTCTATTCATTGTAGAAACACGAAGAAAAATACAAACAGGACACTATTTAAAAAAAAAAGCATAATCTTATCCAAAGATACAGTGACCACATCATTCCTACCTTTAAGCTCTTACTCTGTGTCTCTCTATACTTTTCACCTAAGGGCGCTCATTCGGTTTGTAACCTGCTTTTACACTTGAGCCCGGAAATCTTTTCCAGTGAATACCCTCCTGCATTATTTCTAATAGCACCGCAATGCAAAGCACAGACGCCTTTGAAAATGATGCTTCCCCAAGTGAGCGTGCTAAAAGAGCCTCGATCTGCTTGGGTCGGGAAGGTGGGAGAGGGCCGGGCCTGCCGGCTGGCTGCGGGCGGGGCCGCGGCAGAGCCCGAGGAAGGGGCGGCGCGGGGCGGGGCGGCGCGGGGCGGTTACTCAGGGCGGGCAGTTCAAACTGAAGGAGGGAAAGGCGGCGGCCCCACGCGAAGCCGGCGTGAGGGTTGCCATAGCCCGGCATCCCTGGGGGGCGAGCGAGGCTCCTCCCGGGCGCACCCGCGGCGGCCGCCCGGTTCCCCGCCCACCCATCCGCCCCGCGAGCTACGGGGTCGGAGCGGCAGCTGGACGGGGTAGGGCACAGGTGTGTGTGCCCGCTACGCGGCCTCGGGGCGGCGCGCGCCCCACTGGGGTCTCCGGGTGCGGAGACTAGCGAGGGTCGGGGCACCAGCTCTCCTCCCGCGCCCTCCGCTCCAGGTGACTTCCTCGCGGCCCTGTCGGCACCAGCCGGCCTCGGCGCTCTGGTGAGACCGTTACCCAACCACCAGCTGATCGCACCTGAGGGTAAAGGCAGCGCTGCAGCTCAAGCTGGTTTTGCAGAAACCTGGGTTTGAGAAGTTCAGTCATTGCCAAGAGTAACTGGAGAAAACACGAATATTAAGAGTACTGTTGTCTGAAGGGTTGAAGGAAATTCAAAATGATTTAGGCCTTTTCAAGCGTGATGTCTAATCCCTGTGGCATGTATTTTATGTATACTTCCAATTTTAGCATTCATTATGTTCGTTCTGCACGTTTCAATTAATTGTTCAAATTGAAGTTTCTAAGTGACATTACTTTGGCATGAGTTTTAATGAAAAAGATGAGAGATTTTCTTGTTTGGAAGCCTACCTAACTTTGACATCTAGGAGTTCAAGATTTACTGATGGTAAGATTTTCCACTTTAACAAATAAAGGAAATATACTTTTAACATAATTAAATATCCATGATTTAATAGGTGCTTTCTTTTTTTTTAGTTGGCACATTGTAATTACATACAGTGATAGGATTCATTATGCTGTATTTGTACATGCATATAACATAAATTGCAGGTGTTTTCTTTTTAAAAGCCTTTAGATATGTGTTCTGAGCTCTTTATCAGAAGCCTGGTTTATAAAAAAGAATATCCAAGAGACTAGTTCGTAAGTGATTTGTTGAGTCAGTACAATAAGCCAAGGGGCATCCTGTGATTTGGGGTGAATAATTTTAAGGTTAAGTTTTGAAGAACCACGTTTTGAGACCAGTGTTTTGGGGTAAATGAAAATGATGACAGCAGGGGGAAAAAATGGTTTTGAAGGGGATGGATTTCTGGGACCCACTTTTGTTTCCAACAATTTGCCTCTCAGTTTCCCATATTCTAGCATGGTGAGACACCTAGTGGCGAAGTAGCAGAATAAATTTGTTTTTAACTGTAGAAACTCCTTGACCATTTTTTTTTTAACCAAAAATTGAGTGAAATTGTTTCTTAATAGAAGATTCGTGGGAAAAAAGTAATCTGAAAACACATAATATCTTATTAATTTAATATTTGGAAGACAAAAAAATGTTTTAAAATACATTGCAATTTGTAGAAAGCAAAGTTTGATCATCTTGACTCCTAAGCATGTGCAGAAGTTAACAGTGATCATGAGGAGACATACATATGTAAGATTTATCAAGGAGTAGAGATCTCAAAAGTCAGCTACTTGGCCCAGTATAAATGATCAGTTTACCATAAAGAAATAATTTTGTGTTTAGTGTAGAAATTTGTTTATGTAACATGCTTGTTCACTATGTTTTGTTTTGTTTGAGACAGGGTCTTGATAAGATGCTGAGGCTGGCTTTGGACTTGCTATCCTCCTGCCTCAGCCTCTCCAGTTGCTGGGACTACAGGTGTGGGCCACCATCCCCAGCTCTTTTACTGATATATCTAACTAATTTAACATAGGCATTAATCAATTGCTATCTATTATATAATGTCAACTAAAATTTATTTCCTAACCGTCTTTTAATTGCCAAAAATCATGCATTTGAGTTGGAGAAAATTTTCTTAGTGTCCTTTGAAATATATGGAGACGTATAAAAAATAATAACTTTCTGGGGGCTGGGTGGTGGCTCAGCAGTAGAGCGCTTGCCTAGCACATGCAAGGCCCTGGGTTTGATCCTCAGCACCATATTAAAATAAAGGTATTGTGTTCAACTACAACTAAAAAATAAAATATTAAAAAAATAACTTTCCAAATTAGCTTCATTCCTTTGAGTTAACACTTAATTCAAGTTTCTATAAAGAAGGAATATGATAATACTGTTGAAAAGGTTAAGAAATAAAATACTTCCTACTGTTGTTTCTTACTCGTATACTAGCTAAGTAAATGTTTTCTTTAAATAACTGATTTGAATCCCTTATTTCCTACTTCAAAAGTATTATAAAGGGTGGATTTTTGCCTATTATCTATGATTTTAAACCTGCAATGGGACCTTATGTCTTAAAAAGTTAGAAACTGAGACATAAAGGCTGGGTTTTTAGCTCAGTGATAGAGTGCTTGCCTAGCATGTGTGAGGTACTGGGCTCAAACCTGCACAACACATAAAAATAAATCAATTATGTCCATCTACGACTAAAAATATTTTTTTAGAAAACTGAAACATAAGTATAACATGTCAAGTTTGAAATGACCCTGTACTGTGGTGCAGTGATTCATTTTGGTTATCTCAAGAAAAATATATTAGTAATCAATGAGCCAAAGTCTTTGTAATTCTGATCTTATAAATTTTGACCTTATAGTTATGAGTACTGAATTTCTCTGTTATATGTGTGATCAGCCTAATTACAGCTAGACTATCGGCAACACTCATTATTTGACACATTTCCCAAAAACATGTTTTAAAAGTAGCATATAGTGTTTTTAAAGTAGCTTTATTTACATCACAACACTTTTAAAGGAAATACCCACCTGAAAAATATAGCTAAGTATGAATAAGCTAAAATATTAAAACTAAAATTATGTACTTTTATTCTATAATCATAAAATAATAAAATAAAATGAGGCTGCTAGAGCTTTTTTTTTTAGTAGTTCAAGAAATAATGCATGGTGCTTGGACTATGGCTGGTAAAGTAATGTATAAATATTTATAATCTCAGATTTTGGTATTATGACATCAAGAAGTTATTTTTAAGGGCTGGAGTTTTAGCTCACTGGCAGAGCACTTGCCTAGCATGTGTGAGGTACTGAGTTCGATCCTCAGCATCACATAAAAATAAATAAAGATTTTGAGTCCATCTACAACTAAAAAGAAAAAAAATGTTTTTTAAAAAATTAAGGTGTGGGCTGGGATTGTGGCTCAGTGGTAGAGTGCTCACCTCGCATGTATGAGACCCTGGGTTCAATCCTCAGCACCACATAAAAATAAACAAAATGTAGATATTTAAAAAAAAATTAAGGTATAAAAGAAGAAGTTGTTTAAGTAGAATACACATCAGTATATTGTGTAGATTTGATTTTCAAAGTAACTTTAACAAATTGTCACACAATTTTCTAATATTATCTATACTCAAAACAATATATTTGGTGTAAGCTGCCTGGGTACTCATTTCAAAGGAAGAATAAATTTGTTTTCACTTTTTAGAAACAGAGAGCTTGAAGATGTCACAAAGGCACTCAGATCAAGCTAGCCCTGGAACTGGAAGTCAGGTGGACTCTGCTACCATCAACTGCAAGTGCTCCAGCTTCAGACATTCTTGTTCCACATCTTCCTTTCAAGATAGTGACCATAACAAGTTGTCAAAATCTTTCTGCTTTAATAATGCAGATAAAGAAGTTTTGGGAAACAAAGAAAAAGACCCAACAGTAACCCATGAGCACCCTGAAACTTTAAACCTAGGCTTAACACATCCTTTAGAGTCTCCCACTCAACGAAAGAAATGTGTCTTTCCTAGGAAGGAAATGGAGAAAACCCCAGAACTTTGTGAAACTCCTAAAGTCAGTGGGAAAAAATGTCTACTGCGGAGAAGATTGAATATGTCTTTCTCTCTTCTAAAGGGGGACTTTGAATCACGAAACAGTTCTTTAGAAAGTAGTATAAGCCAAGTTCTCAACTTAGAAAAAAAGATCCCAAGCAGTGCCACAGATTTTCCCAGGCAAAATGATTTTAGCCCATTAGTTACTAGCACAGAAGAAGTGACATCCAGCAGTCAAAACTTGAGACTAAATTTTTCTCAACAGAAGACTTCCACAATTGATGATTCTAAAGATGATTGTGACCTATTTGAAGTTGAATGTATATCTCCAATTCAGGGCAATAATTCCAAAGATTCTATCACACATGACTTTAGTGATAGTAGTTTAAGTGTTAATGATGAAAATACACATCCTGCACTTCTGGGCTCCTCTGGTAGTGGAACAACCTGTGGAACAGATGAGGACCTATTTGTGACTCCAGTAAGTAATCTTGTAGCGAATATCAAATTTAATGCAAGTCAAACACATTCTCCTTCAGCTGAAGTGAGACACAATGTTTCAACACCTGAAGACAGTGGTTTCAACTCACTTAGCTTGGAGAAGTCTGAAGATTCCCTCTCTGACCAGGAGAGTTCTTTTCAAGAACTATTCCAGAATCATAAGGGGACTCTCAAATTGGGGGACACCATAAGAAAGTCAAGGCGTCTTGGAAGGTCGAGAAGACTGTCCACTCTTCGGGAGCAAGGCTCACAGTCGGAGACAGAGGAGGAAAAGCAGATCACCCACTCCAACCCTGAAACGAGACTCTTGACCACTTCAAGCACCTCAGAGAGTGGGCTGGGCTGTGATAATAAGAGTGAAGATTTGACCATAAGCTTTGAGAATTTATCAAGAACCCCAGCCTTGCAATTAGTGCATGAGCTCTTCATGAAAAACAAAAGGAAAAGATTTCAGCAAAAGGATGCCCATGAATTCTTAGAAGAAAGGGATGGGGAAAAAATTGCCACCTTGCAATCTGTTCTTGCAGGACTGATTGGCAAAAAGATGGGTATAGAACAGCTGGACATCTTAACAGAATTAAAGTATAGAAATTTAAGGCATATTCTTGCTATGGTTTTAGATTCCTTGACTGCAGAGAGCCTGTACAGGTAAGAAAAGTTTATGAAATAAAATTTGCTTTTACTTTTTAAGTTTAAAAGTTTTTCTGAATTGAGTGTCCTGTTTTTTTATGTGTTTGTTTCTGTCTTTGATTGTCTTACACTGTATTGTTTAAGTAACCTTCCCAGTAGAGTTTGCTAGTATAGTTTCTTCTTCTAAAGCCTGCTTTAGAAGCAACAATATAGTTTTATTTTTCTGGATAGAATTTGTCACTCATTTAAAAAGAGAATTCCTAAAAGTTGAACTTTACATTTTCAAAATTGTAAGCTTTGTTCCACAGATTGTTTGATGAATTAAGAATTAATATCCTATTGTTGGATACAAATTGTATTTAAGTTCTAACATTTGGTAAGAAATATTAAGAATGTGGTTAGTAAGAAATGACCACATACAATGAATACCATTTAATTATTTAAACCAAGCTCTAGAATCCAAGAATAATAGTTAGCTTTCATTTTGGGGTCTGGTCTTTCAGGGGCCAGGGGAATATGCATTGTTTCATTTTCATTGCTAACACAGCAGAAGGAATTAATTACTTTTGGGAATTATGAACTGAAGAATTTGTGTTCACAGATATCCCAGTAGTTTGAGTGATGCTACATAATTAGAACAGACAGACCTTTAGGACTACTGAAGGCAGGAACTAGAATTACAAAGACTAAAGGAAGAATGTTCATGCTGGTGATGTGAAGGAATTTCAGGATTGTCAGAAGACAGGACCCTCAGTAATGTCATGGCCAGGAAGGAGGAAAGTCACACAGAAAAGGTTTTTGCTAAGTGGTGGTGGTGGTGGTGGTGGGGCGCATACAGGAGGGTAGTGAGTCTCTTTCTTAATGGGAATATACCAAGGGTTTGGTTTGTTTTTATGGCCACTACTCCTAAAGACCCTTCCTCACTGCCCCCCCAATATTATAGGCTATTGTAACGAATTGTAGAATTTCATAGCTGGAAGTATTCTGAAATATTTAGTCTAACTATTTATTTTGCAGATGAGGAAACAACTCTATAGAGAAGTTAAGTGACCCACCTGAAGTCACTCGGGAGACAGGAATAGATCTAGGTCTACAACTGAGCTCTCTCATTTCTCATCCGATGTAAATGATTAAGGTCTTTTGATAGAGAAAGTATTTGGTAGGATACAAACAAATATCCCAAATAGGATAACAAACATGTTAGGCTATCCTTAGGTTTGTCTTTTAAAAAATGTTCAAGAGAGAAATTATTTGTTTAAACAATTAAGGAGATGGCCAAAACATAGGAATGATAATTTTTTATATGCTAGAGTATTTGGATATGGCCCAGTTAAAATAAAAAGTTGGGTAATACTTTAGGGTGCTCACTTGAATGAGCAGTTGACATTCATATTTTAACAATAACTTCTTCGTACCACTATCCAAATTTATAGTGTTTGTACTACAGAATTTGTGTCTATAACCTTAGCAGTGCTGTTCTTGGCAGCGTGAGGAATAATGGTCAGTTGAAATGAGTGTGAAGAATACCCAATTATGTCACTCTTCCTCATTAATGGGTGACTATGTAAGGCACATTTGTTGGCTTAGAGAAAGACAATGGCAACTCAAGTTGCCTTGGTAGGAAGAATAATGGTGTTGAGCATTACCTGGGCCCTCTAAAATGAGCAACTGCTTTTTTTCAGCCTTCTTCTGACTTTATTCCCTCTGAATGACTTGCTAGAGTAATTTTAAAAAGACTGGATTAATAGTCAAAGTATTACTTTTTATCTAATAATTAATATAGTGGAAGTTATTGATAATAGCAATCATTGGATGAAAACTGTCTTTAGATGCTTTGTTGTTTTGAACTTTGTTGAATAAAACAGGAACTTTGGTGCTACTCACAATCATGTCTATTATTTGGCACTTATTGCTTTCAAAGAAAGATTAATTTTTCTTATGTTTATTTAGGTGAAATGGAAGAGATGTGTTGAAAACCACAATAGGAGAAATCAATTTAAAATTCTTGTCCTATAGATGATAATCATTTTCTTGATGTTTTATTCCAGATTTTGAATCTTAGTGTCACTTATCTTAATTTCCCACTGGACTCATTTTGGCCTTATATGACTACGTATGAAATGGCAACCTATTAAAATGCTAACATATACTTAATATTTATCAGGAATTCTTTCATAGGGTGAATTAGTATGAGACAAGATGTTGATCAAGTCATATTTTTAATATTTTTTTAAAGAGAGAGAGAATTTTAATATTTATTGTTTAGTTTTCGGCGGACACAACATCTTTGTTTGTATGTGGTGCTGAGGATCGAACCTAGGCTGCAAGCATGCCAGGCGAGCGCACTACCGCTTGAGCCACATCCCCAGCCCCTCAAGTCATATTTTTAATGTAACTTTCTAGTTTAAGTTTACTGTCCAAAATCTTTTTAAGTTTTTCTTATTTTTTACCATCTATGAAAAATTATAATCTTTCAGAATACGTTCAATGTAAGGACTGATCTTTCGTTTCAGTGTTTGGAAAGTCAGCAAAAACTGGCGTGAAATTGTTATTCAAGATAAAAAAGCAAATCGGAGGAGGAAATTTTATATCACACAACTGAAAGCAAATTCTGAGGTAATAATGTGTACTGTACTTTTCTAAAATGGATTTATATAAATATCCAATCATTCCACATTGTGGAAAAGCTAATTTGGTTTTCCTACTATATTTTAACCCTTTCCATTTAGCAAACATTCAATCATAATCTTTTTACTTTTTCCAAAATCCCTTTCACGCCATCTATAAAGACAAATAGATAACTGAGCACCAAGAACATCTTGTTGAGTTTTGAGGGATTTATGCAGATTTGCTGTTAATGACATCTGAATACCAATGATGTACTAGATCCCACTCATAAATCAATATCTTTATAGCATTTAAAAAAATTTTTTTAGTTGTAGATGGACACAATATCTATCTATCTTTCTTTCTTTTTATATGGTGCTGAGGATCGAACCCAGGGCCTCACACCTGTGAAGCAAATGCTCTACCACTGAGCTACAGCCCCAGCCCCTCTTTATAGCATTTTCTTAATATCCAGTCTTTTGAGTGCATATTACATAACAGTAGCCAGTTGTTCAAATTATAGTGGTAGGTAATTTCTGAAGTGGTCTCTGCTCTCCTGGAGCTTTTACCCTGGAAGTGATACAAATAAACATGTGACTACAATACAAGTTAGGGGAAGCCCAGAATTATACTGGACATTTAAAAGAAGTACACCTCAGACCAAATGATAAATTAGCAATTAACTAAGAGAATGACACAAGTAGAGGCCTAGAGGTGATCTTGGCAGATGAGTACTTGTGAAATGCCATAAACTTATACTCCTTTGAGGATTTGAGGTCTGGCTTTGAAGTGACATGAAAAGCTGATGAATTCTATCTACACAGGGACACTACTTTGTATAAGGGACGCTTGATGACTGCCACCCATATGTTTTAATAGATTCAACTTGGAGACCTTTCTTAGGCATGAATACCCAAAGAAACTCTTGAGAGTTTGCTACCTTAAATGTTGTTCTAGTAAAAAGTATTTAATAACATATTGTAAGAAAATTTTACAATTAGATTAAATATAATTGAGATGAAGCATGGCATTAAATATGAACATCTAAATACAGATTAGTAGGCTTTTCATTTCGGGGAAATATTAGGAACTTTGAAGAAAAGTTTTACCTTTTCATCTGCAATGCTGCCTAGGTTTATTCAGAGCTGCTGGCCACTTACTGATGTAGCTGCTGGCTCCTGGAGCTTATGTAGTGAGGATATTAACATTAACTGCTTTTTCAATGTATGTTTTCAGAGTGCTGACTTATATACTAAAGGAAGAATTAAAAACACCTATTTTTAAACCAAGTACTTAAACTTTTAGCTCCATTTACTGCTTAATACCTCCAGGGAAGGAAAGGGGTTCTGTTGGCAACCCCTCCAAGTAATTCTGGATAAAATATCCTCATATCCTAGTCATCACTTAAAAAAAAGTGGTTTCTTAAAATATAGTATACATTTTACCTTTTTCTTTTCTTTTTTTAAATATATATTTTTAGTTGTAGTTGGACACAATATCTTTATTTTTTATGTGGTGCTGAGGATCGAACCCAGGGCCTTGCACATGCTAGGCAAGCGCTCTACTGCTGAGCCACAACCCCAGCCCCATACATTTTGCCTTTTTCAAAAAAGTTTTTTTATTTGCTTTTTAAAACTCAAAGCAATACATTTTTAAAAGGTTTAAAAAATGAAAATGGATTGTGGCTTAAAACAAAACATGGTATTCTCCTGTCCTACTTCCTACTTCCTGTTTCCAATTCTTGCCCCATCAAGGCAATCACTTTCAACTTTTCTAGTCTTGACCTCCACCATTTTAGATTAAAATGCTTTTTTGGGGGAGAGGATACCAGGGATTGAACTCAGGGCCACTCAACCACTGATCCACATCCCCAGCCCTATTTTGTATTAACACGGTCTCACTTAGTTGCTTAGTGCCTTCCTTTCGCTGAGGCTGGCTTTGAACTTGTGGTCCTCCTGCCTCAGCCTCCTGACCTGCTGGGATTACAGGAATGTGCCACCACACCCGGCAAAATTAAATGCTTTGACTGATATTTATTATTTTTTTTTTCTGTAGAGGGATTAGTTTAGATCTCTAACCTCTGACTTGTTTTTTAGTTGTAGGTGGTCACAATATCTATCTTTCTTTTTATTGGTGCTGAGGATTGAACCCAGGGCCTCACACCTCTGAAGCAAATGCTCTACCACTGAGCTACAGCCCCAGCCCCTCTTTATAGCACTTTTTTAAAGGGGTTCTGTTGGCAACCCCTCCAAGTAATTCTGGATAAAAAAGAGATATGACCACTACTATCACTATCTAGCTACCTCCTCCTCACCCCAAATTCATTTCTCCCTTTCTTCTACCTTATTACTGTAATTGTACCACTATTTGAGAATGAGTTGGAATTAGGTGTTGACATCATTGAGGCAGTATTGGGAGTATTATGACTTGTGCACTATGATTACCTTTTATTTCCCCCACCCCCAGAGTTAATAATTGCCCAGTTTTTCTCTTTTTTGCTCAGTGTTTCTCTGTACAGATCCCTGATTCATCTCCCATTATCCACCAGAACTGAAAGTCTCCTCTCTGTAAGTCTAAAACCAGGTATTCTACCTCTTCTTTCTTTTCCTCAGAGGTATCCTTCCTGGAGCCCTTTGTCTCCCCTCATTCCCATCTGGAATGTTTGCTTTCTACCTAACCTATTTTAATGTGTCACTAATTAAACTGAAAAATTATGAAACAATGTTGTGTTGTGATTTTCCTCATGCCTAAAAGCTCCTGAAAACTTTTTGTGTAAAACAAACAAAAAATGTGTTACTGGAAGTTCCTGCATGAAAAAATTAGAAAGTACAGATCAGGTGCTCATAATAGGAGCTCAATTTTGTCTGTCAGCTTTGGAATAGTGAGAATGAGTACTAGAATTGGAATGCCACACCTTTTCCATTGCATTTCTTGATTAATTATTCTCTGTTCTCTCATTTTTGTGGAAAAGAGCAACCATTAAATTATTCCACTCTCACACTAAAATATTATCTGGTAATGCGATGATAGCCATGTTTTGAAAAATTGGGGCATTTGTGAATGTGTGCTTTTGTTAACTGCTTCACTTCTTGTTCAAAAATAGTAGCACACATTTTAAGCTTCATAAGGATTAGACTGTTTTATTCACTTGGCACCTATTAAGTGTTCTATAAATATTTATTAAATGACTGAATGTTTCTTTTGTGACTGCAATTTGCTTCAACAACATATCTTTATTCATTTTGGGGTGCATGTACCATGTTTGCCAACTACACTGAAATCCAAAGGTGTTCTTTTAGTGTGCTTTTGGGTTATATGCTGTGCTCTAGGCTGCAAATCATTTATTCAAGTGTAATATAAAATCTGAGCCCTTGGATAATTTAAACATGTTCAAATGTATTTGTCCTAATTTCTGAAGGCCAATATTTGTTCATTACTCTGTGCCTATATTCTTAAGTTGTTAATCACATAATTTTTCATGACCCACTATCGACTTTCCCTATACTTGTCCTATTATAATTTCTTACAGTTTAACTCTCCCCACAGTTAGAAGCCAACTGTGGCTAAGGACACTATTGAGGGAGTGGAAACAAAGCCTAATTTTAGTTAGATATTGAAGGAAATTTACCTGTAGTGCATTTTATTTTGATAATTGGTTAAGAAAGTAATTTTTTTTTAAAAAAAGACATTTTTTCCCATTACTGTTTTTAATAAAATAAAAGGCTATACAAATTACTTATTGAAAAAGATTTCTTTTTGTTTTTAATTGTTTGTTTCTATTTTTTTCCAGCATTATTGAGATATAATTGAAAATAGAAATTGTATATTTTCAAGGTATACAAGCTCATTATTTCTTGACTGAAATTTGAATAATGTGGGAATCCAGTTCAGATGAGGGAGGTTTTTTTTTCTCCTTTGACAACACCAAAGCCATTAAAACTTAATTGTAAAAATGAATCTGCACCAGGTATTTGCAAAATTCAGCTAAAGAAATTGGGTTTTATGATCTAACCAGTCTCATAGTTCTTCTGACAATCGGCTAAGGTAAGAAACCTTCAGAGAATTCCATGATATCCCATGACAAACTTTCAAAAGATTCTCCTCTTCCTAGACCTTGGCTTAAAACAGGAATTGCAAACTACAACCTATAGACCAAGTCCTGCCTATCACCTATATTTTTAAAGTAAGTTTTATTGGAACACAGCCCCACTCTTTGATTTACTTATTGTCTACAGCTGCTTCTGAACAACAGCACAACTGAGTAGCTTCAACTACATGGACAACAAAGCCTAAAATATATACTATCCAGCCCTTTACAAGTAATATTTGCAAAATCGAGGCTTACAAAAAATGGATATAAATTCAACATTAGAATTTATTGTTTTAATTTTTCTTCTCACATTTCTTTGACTATATTTCAAATGTTAGGAAAGACTTTGGGGGAGTTAAAAGAAGGTCTAGGGGAAAAATCTAGTGGTATAGCCACATTTTAAATACTTAAATCTACATCCATCAGAAAGCTCTTCTCTCTGGGAACTTTTTGGATAGTGTGGTGTTGACTCCTCTCATCTTTTACCACAGGAGGCTGTATTAAATGTTGAAGATGCTGCCACTCGCCTCCATCTTTTAAATCGCTCAGCTTTAAGATCAGTACAAGCTCAGGCTAAGACACCCAGTTCTCAGAAAGAGCAAGTTCCAACCTTATCTCCTTGGGGAGAAATTTTGACACCTATAGCAAGCTCTTCAGTTAACCACTTAAATAGTAAACAGGAAGAGTATGTTAAGGTAGGTATTTATCATAAATTATTAGAAATAAATATTTGCAGTTTGAAATAAAGTGATTCTCTATATGACACCAGGAGATTTAGTGTGTGTGCTTTCACTGCAGGTTGCCAAAACACTTTTTATTGATGAAGCATTAAAACCTTGCCCAAGGTGCCAATCCCCTGCTAAGTACCAGCCATATAAGAAAAGGGGACTGTGTAGCCGCACAGCCTGTGGTTTTGACTTTTGCGTGTTGTGTTTGTGTGCTTATCATGGGTCTGAAGAATGTAGTAGAGGAACAGCAAAACCAAGAAATAGAAAAGATGCTCTCCCAGGAAGTGCCCAGAGTAAGCGGAATTTAAAACGCCTTTAAAGAGACGAAACATAAAAGAAGCATTCCCTCTATGCAATGTTCTGTTTGTTGACTTAAAATTATGACTATTTTGAACACATGCAAATTTTCCCATTAATGACAGATGATGATTTATTTCCTATTTTGTATAGATCATAACCCATGTTATTGTATGTTTTAAGTGATGAGTTTTGAAAAAATTTTATTTTATGATGTCATTTTTACCCATTTTAATAACTTGGTGTTTTAAATAAAGAACTTTCAATGTTGTTTTATATATATATATATATATGTATTTTGCTATTTCATCACTATATGTTTAAATGTTCTTCAATCAATTTTTAAAAAACAGTTTTTCAAATAATATTAAAAATTTTGAACTTAGAACCATATAGTTTTGGAAAATGAACTCTTGACTGAAATGAAATAAAAATAAAGTATTTTCAGAAGTTCTGTTAAAGTTACTCCATAATTTCAATCTTTCTTATATTTGGCATATTTTGATAACTTCCAAGTAAGTAAAATTTACTTAACATTGATAAATATAAAGACATTAAAAAGTAAATTATGGGGAATATGTGGTCATTCATAATGGGAGTCTTCATTAATAAACCCCTGTGAGTCACACATTATAAGGTAATATTTTAAAAATTTCTTTAACTGTAATAACAGATTCCATTGATTCAGTGTAGTCAAGATATTACTATTTTGACAAATTTGGGCTGATTGGAAAAGATAGTTTTTAAAATGAAACAATGTACTAAATTATTTATAATATACATTATGGTTTATAATACCTTTTTTCCAAAAATTATTTTAGACTGGTTGCATGTTCCGTATAAAACAGCCATAAAAAAGAGATAAGTTCTATTGCTAAACAAATTACTAAGACCAGGGAAACATTTGACAATAGTTTCATCATTCTTTCAGCTTATGTTTAGGTAATCTCTGTGTGTTGTACATATCCATGTTCTCACTGCATGCACAGATTTTCATATAGTTATCACACATTATTTTAATAAGATGATTTAAAGTGTTAGAAATAGATATGTGTGGGGAAATCTGCCATTAATATTAATTTATTATTTAGCTATAAATTCTGAATTAGAACAAATTTTATCCTTTTCAGTTCCACAAAGGAATTTTTAAGACAAAACATAAATATGATAACATGTTAGTTGTATTTAATAAAAGTTAGCCATCTTTAAATTTTAGGGACTTTTTGATTTGTTTGGTTCTAACCTAATTAAGTTCTCCATCTCTGTTTCCTGCAACATCTTCTACATTGGGCCAGTTTACTAGTTAATGCTGTACACTTCAGGCTTAACTCCTTTTCTCCATTAGAAAAATTTTCTTTGTTTTTAGGAAACTTGTTCTGGTCCCGATTCTCTTTAATGTATGAAGTCACCCTTTTGGTTTATTTAATCCAAACTACTTGTGTTTGGCTTTGCTTTCTGTGGCCCATATTGAATCATATCTTCATCTGTCATATGAACATTTTTGCTGTTTCATACTCTCGATTTTCTGCCTGATCTGTCATTCCCCTGGTGACTTTTTAGATCTTAAAACCACAAATCCAGTTCCTTGACATGACTTTTTAAAATTTTATTAAAGAACAGGAAAGGAAGACAAAGATTTCTTGGTCACAGAGAATGTCATGTTCAAGGTCACCTGGCATCCTCTTTCCTTCCCCCCCATCACAATCCCTCTGGTGTTGTATGTGTTGCAGCCACAGTTCCCTTGCAGGGCACTGCTTACTGTGGTCATCCTGTGGCTATGCAGCTCATTAGAATGTGATATTATATCTCACCTAGGTGGTAAAAAAAAAACAGTGTTTCCCACACTTAATTATAGAAATAAACAACAAACACGTTTTATTTTCTACTGAAGGTAATCTTAAGCAATAGAAGCCGAAAGTTTTTATATTTTTGGTTTTACTTGGGATTTAAGTATTTAGATCAAATAGATATAAATGAAATAGAGTAAGGGCACATATTTTAATGTTTTTATAATAAAACTTCCTGAAGGAGAAAATATCAGAGTAGGAATTCAACAGGTAAAATCCTTTTGAGTAGGTTTTATATTTGTGATTATACAATCAACGTTATCTTAATTATTTAAAGTTATCGTGTGCTGTTATAACTGACTTGAGTAGTTACCTCAGCTCTGTACTTTCATAGCATCCTTTATGTCCTCTGTCATGGAACTTAGTTGTCTTTATTTAAATCACTTTAGTTTCTTTTTGCATAAGCTCTGTGAAGTCCTAGGCCATATCATATTTGACTTAAAGGCCATTGTGTCCCTAGCATCTAGTATTCAGTTATTGAATGTGAATGGATTGTTTTAGTGCTGCTAGCCATTTAAAAAAATATTTATTTTTCAGTTGTAGTTGGACACAATACCTTTATTTTGTTTGTTTTTATATAATACTGAGGATCAAACCCATGGCCTCTCATATGCTAGGCGAGCATTCTACCACTGAGCCACAACCCCAGCCCCTGCTGCTAGCAATTTTAACCAAGTAAATCATTATAAAACATTAGGCAAACAATTTGTCTTAATATAATTCATTAATTTCTTAACATTTGATTTCACTGATTAATGTTTTAATACCCAAAAGGTAGAATTTAAAGGATTTAATCTATTTAAGCATATACTCAGTGAATTTGTTTGCTACTCATTTTTTTAACCTTTATTATATTTATTTATTTTTATGTGGTACTGAGGATCAAACCCAGTGCCTCACACATTCTAGGCAAGCGCTCCATCACTGAGTTACAGCCACAGCCCTGGTCTATTCATTCTTTTAGTTGATTTTGCCCTAGAACCAGTTAGGAGATAATGGAAGGAGCACTAGGTAAGGAGAAGGAAGCTTGCTAGCTTCCCAGCCTCCTAGTGAGCATACTAGCTGGACTGCTTATTAGCTATGTCCTTATACAAGCCAGCTTCTAACCTGCTTGCAAAAGATGAAATTGAGCACACCATTAATTGATTTTATACTAACTCATTTATTCCTTACAATGATTCTATAAAGAATTCATTATTTTATTCAATTTTGTATATCAGAAAACTGAAGAAAAGCAGTTAATAATTTGAGATTATACAGGCAGCAAATGGGAAACAGGATTCTCGCTGAGGCAGTTTACCATCAGCAAAACTCTGCACAACTCTGTTGATGAACTCAGTATACATATAATTACAAAGTCTTAAATGTTTTGGTATTTAAGAATAACCTATTGGTCTAGTAGGGAAAAAATCTAATTTAAAATAATTCTGCTTGAATAGAGTAGTCCTGAGCTCACAATTTGATTAAACAATTTTGTCATTTAAAAATATGAATGAATTTGGCTCAGCGGTAGAGCACTCACCTCGAATGTGTCCTGGGTTTGATCCTCAGCACCACATAGAATAAATAAAGTAAAGGTATTGTGTCCAACAACAACTAAAAAATAAATTAAAAAAATACAAGTGAATTAAATGAATATTCCATTATCTGAGAGTAAAGTTTAAGACTTCCAATCCTGAGATTTTATAATCTAATGACATAGAGCATGAAAGTAAGTATTCTCATATTCTAGTTGTTGCAACATTCTTATCAGTTTTGGTTATTGGGGAGGGAAACAAGTAAGAAAGTTTCTCCCAACATTTATTGATGGTATACTCTGAGTATACCTGCGTTCCTGAGGAAGTTACAAAATAAAAGCAATAAGTACATTTGGTATTTTATTTTTGTATTTTGTTTCATTTCTTTAAAACAACATAGGAAAATCAATAAACTTTTGATCTTCTACTGATTTAGGATAAAAATCTCTGCCTTTCTATGATCTGCCCCTTGAAGGCCTTGGTGGCTAATGTGCAGGAACAGTCTGTCTGATTTCTTGATTCCAGGAAGGGCAGATATTTCCAAGTTCTCTCCTCCTAGTTTGGAAGAATGGTTAGAAACTCGTGGCAAATAATATAAAGAGAAACAACACTTTAAGCTTTATCATTTTATACTAGTGTACCTATGAGCACAAATGTGGATGTTTAAGATTAGCTATTAAAATAAGCTTTATTATGAATTTCTTTAGTAAGAGTTGAGTTGCTATTGAGAAAATATTTTTGTTACTTACTTGGCAAGTAACTGTATAAAGCTAAGCTTTCCCATTACCTTTGCTTAATTTATGACACAAAGCAAAACTGTCAAATTTTTGACACAAAAAATTTACTGAACAATTTGGATATTTAATGTTAATGAATTATATCATAATTTATCATTAATTTGTCATAAATTGTACCTGTTTAAAATTGTATAACATCTAAAAAAATACTTTATTTTAAAAGATTTTTAAATCTTCATTTTTGTATGAAGAAGGAATGTTTCAAAGATGACACTAAAATATTCCACTAGGGGGCACCAAAGACTTATTTATAGTGATTTTGGCGTTTCTTCAAAAAAGTAATTTTAGCTTTTATGTATTTGACATTGATATGCTATGACATTGCCAAATAGAGGAAGTGTTCCTTGACTTAATTTTTAAAGTGTATATAGAATAAATTTGGGGAATAGTTATTACTCA